AAAAAAAACTTTTCAGAGTATGTAGTTCAGGTTCACGAACGTATGCCATGATGTCATCAAGCCTCTTAACTTAATAACTTTGACACGAAGGTTTTATTTACTCATAACTTTCTATTCTAATAAAGAGTTAGCCCCCTATATTTGGAACTAATAAGTTCCAAATATAGGGGGCTCCCACTCCTTAGCCTACCTGGGAAAGTCTATGCCAGGATGCTGGAAAGGAGAATCCGTCTGTCCGTCTGAACCTCGAATGCAGGAAGAAAAATGTGGTTTTCATCCAGGTTGTGGACCACTGGATCAGCTCTTTATCCTCTCAAATATACTTGAGGATGCATTGGTGTTTGTCATTGGTGTTTGTTAGTCTACATGTGTTTTGTGGACCTGGAGAAGGCATTCAGCAGTGTCACTCTGAGTGATCTTTTTGGGAGGTATGGAGTGTCTGGCCTGTTGCTAAGGGTATTTGGTCCTTATACACCTGTTGCAGGAGCTTGGTTAGCATAGCCGGACTTGTTTCCAGTGGGTGATGGACTCTGCCCGTGTTACCCTTTGCCGCAGATTCTCTTCATAATTTTTATGGACAGAATTTCCGACAAGTGGCGGAAGGGTTTCTCTTGGGTGGTCTCAGAATCTGATCTCTGCTTTTCGCAGATAATGTGGTTCTGCTGCCCTAATCAGGTGATGGCCTCCAGCTCGTACCAGAACAGTTCATGCCTGATTGTGAAGTGGTGGAAATGAGAATCTGCACCTCCAAATCTGGGGCCATGGTCCTTAGTCGGAAAAGGGTTGAGTGCTCACTCTGGGACAAAAATGAGTTCCTGCCCCAAGTGGAGTTGAAGTATCTCGGGGCCTTGTTAACAAGTGACGGGAGAACAGACGGATTGGTGGTACTGCTGCTGCAGTGATGCGGACGCTGTACCAGTCCGTCATGGTGAAGAGAGAGCTGAATTTAAAAGCAAAAGTCTCACTTGTCGATCTACATCCCTAACCTCACTTATAGGCATGTTGTTAGTGACCAAAAGAGCAAGTTTGCAGATAAAAGCGGTGGAAATGGGCTTCCTCTGAAGGGCTGCTGGCTTCTGCCTTAGTAATAGGGTGAGAAGTTTGGCCACCTGGGATTGCCTCAGAGTAGAGCCGCTGCTCCTTCACATCGAAAGGAGCCAGTTGAGGTCGTTTGGGTCTGACAAGGATGCCTCCTGGGCACCTACTAAGTTAGGTGTTCTGGGCATGTCCCACCGAGGCAGACCCAGGACACGCTGGAAAGATTATATCTCTTGGCTTGCCTGGGAACACCTTGATGTTCCCCCAGACAAGCTGGAGGAAGTGGTCATGAAGAGGGTTGTCTGGGCTTCTCTACCTAGGCTGCTGCCTCCTTGACTGGCCCTGGATAAGCGGAAAAATATAAATGGATGGATGGATGACTAGAACATTTGTTATTGTCTTAAGACATGGACCAACAGGTAGCCAAATATCCATGCTTTAAAGAAATGAGACGTAATGTTTTGCATTCTTTTTCCAGAACATTTTCCTACGGTATGTCAACGTAACCTTAAATCTGC